TGCTGCTGCTGCTGCGGAAGAAACGGGCCGCTCATGAGCTCCCTGCTGCTCCTGCTGCTGCAGCTGCTGCCGCAGTGCTGCTGCTGCTGCTGCTGCTCGCGGTGCTGCTGAGTCGTCCTGGGCTGCGAGGGTGCAGCGCAGCGCAGCAACTGCAGCAGCAAACTCTGCTGCTGCAACAGCTGAGCAAGGGGCAGCAGCAGCAGCAGCAGCAGCTGCTGCTGCTGCTGCCGCTGCATCCGATGCCTTCGAATCATCGATGACGCTGCTGCTGCTGCTGCTGCAGGCCATCGAGTATGGGTTTGCTGCTGCAGTGGAGTAGCAGCAGCATTAGCAACATTTGCTGCTGCTGCTGCTGCTGCTGCTGCTGCAGTTGCTGCTGCAGCATTTTGTTCGAATCCAGTTTTATGTGTAAGGAGTGTATACGGATGATGCTGAGTGTTATTTGCTGCTGCTGCTGCTGCTGCTGCTGCAGCAGCAGCAGCAGCAATAGATCTCTGTCCTGCATGATACTGCTTCTTGTCTTCGCTTGTCTTCGGCTGTCTCCGCAGCACCTGCTGCAGCAGCTCGCTGCGGGGTAGCTGTGCTGCAGCACCACTCTCAACACTATGCAGCAGCAGCCTGAGCTGCGTTTCTTTTTGTGTATCTACGCCTGCTTCTCCTGCTGCTAATGCTGCTTCGGTAGCATCAGCAAGAAGCCTCTCTGCTTGTGAGCTGCTGCTGCTATACATGCTGCTGCTGCTATCCCTGCTGCTGCTGCTGCTGCTGCTGCTGCTGCTGTTACTGTCTTCTGTTTTTTTTGTTTTTCTCTCGAAACCTAAACGCACATTGATAGCCAGGGCCTTGGCCGTGTGGTAGCCGTATGTAGCCACCTTAAATCTTTTTTTTATTTGTCTCCTTTCCTCATAAAAAGAGCCAATCCAGCTCTTTTGTGTTCTATCGAAATAAACACCCTTCATTGGCCGCATCTCTTCACTCCAGTCCTCTATATATATATTATTATTCTCCATGTTGCTGCTGCTGCTGCTGCTGCTGCTGCTGCTGCTGCTGATACGGCTGCTGCTGCTGATCATCGGGGTGGGGGTGGTCGTGGGGGTCGGGGTTGTTGTTGCTGTGCTGCAAGAAACGGGAGACGGAGTGCTGCTGCTTGCTGCTGCAGCAGCAGCAGCAGAGGGGAGGGAAGTGTTGCTGCTGGGGGCGGGAGAGGGGGTGGTGGGGTTGCTGCTGGGGGTGATGCTGCTGCTGCTGCTGCTGCTGCTGTTTAAGCTGCTGTTCAGGCTCATGCTCATACTTGTTGTGTTGCTGCTGCTGCTGCTGCTGTTCATGTTGCTGCTGTTGCTGCTGCTGCTGCTGCTGCTGGTACAGGGCAGCGATGTCTTCGATGCCGATACACACACAGAACCCACACGCGGAACAGAAACACCACAGCCAACACTGCTGCTGCTGCTGCTGCTGCTGTTGCTGCTGCTGCTGCTGCAGGGGTCCCTTGGGGATGCACAGCCTGGGGGGCCCCCAAGGGCCCCCAAGGGGGCCCCCTCCCCAGCCACATTGAACGCAGCTAGCTGCCGCGAGCTCTCATCAACCGAGGAATTCTGCTGCTGCTGCTGCTGCAGCAGCAGCTGTTGCTGCTGCTGCTGCTGCTGGTGCTGCTGCTGCTGCTGGCGAGGGGGCCCGTCTAGGCTGCTGGGGGGCCCCGGAGACAGCAGCATGCCCTCAGCTGACCCCCCCGCCCCCTCGCTGCTGCTGCACAAGGAGACAGCTGTCCCCGCAGCAGCAAACTGCAGCAGCGGAGCAGCAGCAGAGTCGCTGCTGGGGGCCCCCAATCCCTCTCGGGGCCCAGCTCCTGCTCCTGCTGCTGCTCCTCCTCTCTTTCTTAAGGGCCCACAGCTCTCCCCCTCCTCACCACACACAGAAGGGGGGCCCCCCCCTCGATGCCTGGGGGCCCCCAGCCGTTTCATTCTTGCTGCTGCTTTTTCTGTCTGCTGCAGTCCGAATGCTGTTGCTGGCGAGTTGCTGCAGGAGCTCGGTACGCCAGCAGCAGCAGCAGCAGCAGCAGCAGCTACTGCAGCAGCAACTGCAGCAGCACTACCACCCACAACAGGAGGAGCCAGGTGCTGCTGCTGCTGTTGCTGCTGCGGGGCTGCCTTGGTAACACCCTTTGGCTCGAGGCTGCTGCTGTCTGCTGCCTCTGCTGCGTGCAGCCCCTGCTGCTGAGTCTGTGCTGCCATCGGACCCTAGGCCTTCATCTTCTGCTGCTGCTGCTGCTGCTGCTGCTGCTGCTGCTGCTGCTGCTGCTTCTTCTGCTGCTGCTGCTCGCAGGGCCCTGCTCTGCTGCACCGCTCGAGTCCTTCTGCTGCAGCGACGCAGACCCCAGTGGGCCCCCAGCTCAGCAGCAGCATCCTGCATGTGGTTGGGGGCCCCCGGGGCCCCTGTGTTTGCTGCTGTGCTGCAGGCAGAGGGTGTTCCCTGCTGCTGCTGCTGTTCTCCTGCTGCTGCTGTTGCTGCTGTTGCTGCTGCTGCTCTGCTGCTGCTGCTGCAGCAGCTCACACTGCCGCAGTGGCAGCAGTGCGGAGACACCTCAAAGTCATCGAGGAGGGCCCCTGCAGCATCGACACAGAAATCTGCTGCTTCTGCTAGTACCCCTTTCTGCTGCTGCTGCTGCTGCTGCTGCTGCTGCTGCTGCTGCTGTTGCTGCTGCTCAGCAGCAGCAAAGGGAGACACTTGGGAAAGGGGAGACGCTTGCTGCTGCACTGCAGCAGCAGCAGCCTCGCCCGCCTCTGCAGCAGCAGAAACGGAGACAACGTTTGCTGCAGCAGCATTGTCTCCTCTAGCAGCAGACATGCATGCACCCTCACGGTCTACAGGATGCTGCTGCTGCTGCTGCTGCTGCTGCTGTTGCTGCTGTTGCTGCTGCTGCTCCGCCGACCCGCTAGCGGGGCATCCATGCCCTTCGGATGATTCTGTACAAGTTGCTGCTGCTGCTGCTGCTGCTGTTGCTGTTGCTGCTGCTGCTGCTGCTGCTGTTTCTTCTGGGCTTGGCAGAGAAAATGTGTGGCTGCACTTTGGCGTAGCCGTTTGAGGGTCCCTGCTGCTGCTGCTGCTGCTGCTGCTGCTGCTGCTGCTGCTGCTGGTGAGGGGCCCCTCGAAAGTCACAGACCCTCGGGGGGCCTCGTATATGGCCAGTCTGTCTTTGAGCTGCTGCAGCTGCTGCAGCTGCTGCTGCTGCTGCAGCACGAGGTATTCATTGTGAGCATGCTGCAGCTGCAGCAGCAACTGGGCCTCTTGTTGTCTGCATTCCTGCTGCTGCTGCTGCCGCAGCAGAGTCAGTTTCTCGGTTGCATCTGCTGCTGCTGCTGCTGCTGCTGCTGCTGCTGCTGGTGTTGCTGCTGTTGCTGCAGCAGGACCCTGCAGCAGCAGAGCAGCAAATATACAAATGTAAGGAGAAAGGGCCTGAGGCAGTCCCTCCAGCTCTGGGCAGCGTAGCTTTGCTGCTGCAGCAGCCCAGCAAGAACTCTCATGCTTTCTGCTGCTGCTGCTGCTGTTGCTGCTGCTGCTGCTGTTGCTGTTGCTGCTGCTGCTGCGGATGGGGGACAATGAGGAAGCAGACACAACAGCTGCTGTTGCTGCTGGCTCGCGCATTCCTTCAGTTGCAGCAGCAGCAGCAGAATTTGTTGTTGTTGCTGCTGCTGCTTCTGCATCTTCCTGCGGGATTTCACTTGCGGATGTTTGTTCAACA